TGCTGCTGCTTTTTACAAATGGCTGCAAGTTTGTAATTGTTTTGTACTGATTGTCTTGCACTAAGGGTATCACATCCACACTTCTTCCCTGCACCAGCCTTTCAGCTGTGTGTATATTATAGAAAAAACATCAAATTGTATCTCACTTTCAAATCAACATCCAAGCAGCTATAAATGAAACAGTAACAACAATGACATTTAAATAATGAATTAAAAAGAAATACTAGCACTATTATAGAACTATCTTGCACTCTAGCCTGAGCACTTTAAAACATCCTGCTACCTTAAATGATACTTTGCTGCTAATACTAAAATCCATGTTTTACTTCAAAGATGAGGTCAGTTTAAAACACTTTGAGCCTTGTTTCTCAGTGATAGACCTTCAAAGTTCTTCCAGAAGTTGTGCAGATTTCTCCCTTGACTTATTACTACCTGCCACCACAAAAACTTGTGCAAGGGGGATGGTTTCAATGGTCAAATTTTACAGAATACCAGCTATGAACTTCTTCCAATAGTAGAAGTTTTCAAATAATGTGTTAATATTCAGTATTATTATACTGAAGAAGGGGCAACTAGAAATAGTGGTGACTTTCTAAATGCCTTTTATGCACAAGTGTCTTTACCCACATCATGGAAAAAAGCACATTAAAATTCTAAATAAACCAAGATACATAACCCCTCCCCTAAAGAACATGGAAACACATCATGTTTCCCAAGCACATCCTCAGTCTAAAATGTTGCCAGCTACTTCCTATGCTCCCCACTTTCTATCTCACCCCTACAGACCACAGGCTAAAGATAGATTTCACTCCTTTGCTCACAAAAGTCCACACTTCTTTACTCTACAGGCCACGTACTAGAGTATTTTTGAGGCAAAGCATGTGATACTGTCATTTGCTTCAGACACTTTCAGAGGGAGGGAACCAGGAGCAGATGACAACAAACAGCTCCCCATGCCACCAGCTTTGTTGCAGGACTTGCTCGGGTGGATATGTGCCTGGACTGCAGAGACTGGGGTCAACTGCTACTGCTGGTTTACTTGGGTTATGGCTTGGATTACACCCCTCCGCGACACGTGTTCTGATGAGCATGAAATGTCTCAGGTCCTGCGTGAAGGCTACACTTTATTCAAGAACCACACGTTGGCAAACCTTGTGACAGCTGAGCATAGGTCATTGTTAGACATAAGTACACCAGATCAGACTGGCAAGAGCAGCTCTGGAAAAAAGCCCCTGAACTCCCTTTGGACTATGGTCTGTGTTGCTCCACAGTATCACGGACTCAACTGTCACATCCACGCTCCAGAGAATTAAAGGGTTTGTTTCTTTACTCAGCAGCTCTACAAAAGGGGAATAGCCATGCAAATGTTGAAGTTTTCTTGCTTGCTCCAACAATCAGTGAGAATCTTGTTGACAATATAGATCACATCCTCTTGGAACAATATCAATTTCTAAACTAAAAACATCAGTTTACTAAAAGCAATGAAAATTATGACATGCAAGAAATACGATACCTGTTTGTTGTTTTCATTGGTACAATGCAGCCTTTTGAGGGACACAAAGTGCCTTATTTTCCTAGCAACAGAAATAATCACTTGTTACCATATCAAATGGTAAAGAGAGAAGTGAAGTGATACACTGCTATTTCCCAAAGCAGAGGTCTCCACGCCCTCATGAAACAAGATACCGAACCCAACACCAAACAGACAACTGAGCAACAAGCACTCCTTCAGCATTACAGCTATGTTTTTGTCCCAGGACACCTGATCCTTTTGCTCCTGCAGGAATTCACCTGCACATCTGGGAGCAGAATTTGGCAACGTGCCCATACTACACCGCAAAGGTGTGAGCACATAAAAGCATGCACACAAACAAGGGGATCACCCAGCTGCTGATCCTTCCAGCTGACCGGGTAACAGTTTGGATACTGTAGAATAACTTCATAAGGAAATGCATGCTAACACGAACCTAAACATCAGCTTGCAGGTATCTATAGCAGTAACACTATTAACTGTTATGACTTTACAGTTCTTTTAGCCGGCATATGATGACAACAAAATGAACAAATGTCAGCAAAGAACATGACCTCCTCAACTTCGCTTATTCTTTCCACATTCCTTGAAGTCAGCAGTTATATCATCACCCTGCTACTAAATACATGGAGGTTCATGTCAAACTTACAGATGGGGAAAGCAGAGACAAGGCCCTAAAAACCAGAAAGCAATTATGTTCTGGACAAGCTAGTTACCCTCCTTGACCAATCACAGGCGTTATCTTCACATGCTGCTGGATACTGTCTCCTGATTTTCTTCTTGCATAGTAAACTCCTTGCCATTCCTAAGCAAACACACACAACAGAGACAGCATCTAAGAATACATAGCCAGCAGTCAAATATTATTTACTATTACATAGTCCTTACGTAGTAAATAATTACGTATTATTTCATGGTTGTATTTTTTAAAATAGTATAAATACAGAGTGGCACCTTTAACAGGCATTTGCTAACATGAGGACAGTGTAAATATGTTTCTCTTGTGAGAGAGTATATAATTTTTACAAAGAACTTTAGGAATCATCTACATTGAGGGGCTACAAACATTCTTGCTAGGTACCACCGTAAGCAGTGGTGGCTGCAACACATCCAGAGAATATCTCCCATGGGAACAGCAGAACCAAACTCTGCGCTGAGCACCATCCAGCTTTAAAGTTGTCAGTCGTCAAGCAATATGTATGCTAAATTTCAGAAGCCCTTGACCTAAGGATACCCTTCAACTAACTTCAGGTAACCAACAGCCTATTCTCACTCACGTTTCTAGATCAGCAAAAGAAAGAAACAATTTCTTCATGGCATCTTTTACCCCGTTCTTCCATGCAAATGCCCATTTCTCTGACTAGCCACTAATTTTCCTTCCATCCCCACTGCTACAGGAAAGCATCAAGAAGACTGCAGGCTAACCAAGAGCCATATATGCACCATCTTTAAGCAGTCCACTGATGCAGCAATAAAAGATTTCCTCCAGTACAGATTGGAGAAGAAAGGAAGATGAAGCAGAAGGCTTCTCTCTCCTTACCACCTCAAAGAAGAGAGGTTTTAAGGAGGGAACTACTTGGCAGCAGAGTAGGATGAAGTTGGGAAATGGGTGGAAGATACCTTCTCAGTCACAGACAAAAGTGGATGGATGCAGAAGACACACGGGGCCTTTAAGCAGGCAGCGATAGCAGCTGGGCAGCCTATATAAATGAAGAGGAGCAAAGCAAGAGTGGTCTGCAGGTACTGCTAATGAACCAAGGTGAACCTGCAAACAACTTCAGACAGTGACACCCAAAGCTCAGATCATTGTTGGAAGTGACTCAAAGGTTCAAGAACTCCCAAAGTTAATGAAGCAGAGGGTGAGACAGGGAAGGGTGAGAGGTACTTCCTCAACCCATGGGAGATGGGATTAGGGGAACATATCACCAGGAACACATAGTGCTTTTGCGGCCCGTCACCACCATGACAGGAGTTCACAGTGCACTGCAGATATTCTAACTATAGTTAGAAAAACAAACCCCACTGGGTGCTGATGTATTTTGGTCACAACTGATTATGCCACATGGTGCTTAAAGCATGCAGTCAATGAAAGCTCTGCAGTTGTGACAGAACAGTTAAACCTTTTGGCTGGATGGTGCAGCCACCGGAGAGACTGACTGAAGGGCAAATTGTTATGTTCCAACTAACAAAAGCTCCATGGGCTGTAAGCAAAACAGAAACACAGAAAACGTTCTTATGTTGATTTTAAGCCAACAGATCGGTAGAGGAGTTCAGTCAGATCCTAAAAGCAAAGCTAAAGAAATCTGTAGACACTTGTCTGAGGCATGGGCAGTTGTGCTCCTAAGACATCTGAGGAGCAGAATTCTGGTCTTATATGTGCACTTATGAAAACCACATCTTGTGTTCTTAAACCTAGAACATTAAAAATAAATCAGAATAGAAATCTAAAGCAATTTTGCATGAATTTATTTTATTTGCTTACCTTTCCTTTTTTAATAAACGTGTTGATAGTGTCTAAAAGATCCGCACAGTTTTTGTCGCTTTTTGGTAGTTCAGTAAGTTCCTTGCCAATAAGCTCTCCCTTGTGATACCCCATCATCCGTTCAAAGGCTGGATTAACATACTGCCAAAACAAAAGTACTTTAGGATAATATGAAAGAGAACATACTTAAAGGATAATTACTCACATATAACTATCAAAGTGTTACAGGTTATACATCTAAAGCCATAACCACACATCCCTACAATTCAGTGTTTTTCATATAAAAATACTGTGTAATGGTGAAACATTTTATTCAAGTAAGGAGCTGAATGCAGAAGGCAATATGGTAACTGTTATCAGAAGGCACAGAAAGAGAACAAAACTCTTTACCGTACAGGTTATCCAGTTCTGCTGTAGTTTTCATGCTGGTTTTACCATAAGCAACATTACTTTACTGAAAATTATAATCTAAGTAAAGTTACTGAAGGAAAAGTCTTAAAAATTCAGTAGGCATCAATATGCAGCATCCAGAAATAAGGCAGTTCATTGCACAGGGCTTTCTAATAGGCAACAAAACTAAAATACTTGAAATAGAACAGAAACTACTGAACAAAGGTCTCTTTGGGGTTTGTCTCTCCAAATTCTACAAAACAGTTAATTCTTTTGCCCCCTACCTGAATGACATGATCTTCGCTGGTTATTTCTATAGCTTCCTGACAATGGTCTAATGCTGTAAACACTGCATTACAAGCCCTGAAATTAGCAAATGGTTCATGTTACTTTTATTGTTAGAACATTTTGCTCACTATAGGTGCATTATTATATTGTACTTATCAGTAGGCGAATCACAAAGCAGCATGTTGTTTTGACTAAACCATGTCACTATTGCCATTATGATTTTTTTTCAGGAAATTCACCTTCAGATGTCCCTATTTTTAATGTGTTTTTACTGCAGATCACATTGTAAAATTGCTCATGGGTACTGCAGCATCCTAATAGTATACTTCTTTCTCCAAACATGCTCTAGGGAGCAGGAACTAACAATCAGCAGTAAAAATAACAAATGACTGTTACATCAGAATAGAAAGTTTTGCGATCATTAAAAATAGGGAACACAAAAATCACCACAGCAGATATATACAAAGTTTTCAATGCAGCAAATAAGTCGGCACTATCAAAGAAGTTGCAATACAACATAATTAAGGGAAACAATTTAAGACATCCCAAAGTCCTAGTCAGAAAAATATCAATTTTCCTGCTTCCAAGTAATAATTCAGTGACTTGATTTCCATACATCCTGATCTTTATTAAGGGCCTTCGTTTCCCATTTTTTTCAGGGTTACAAAATTTAAGTTGCTTAAATTATGATTTACACAGGATGGGATTAACATTAATATAGGCTCCTAATACTAGAAAGAAAAAAAAAAAAACATAAAGAGAGAGTGCATACTAGAAGAAACAACCCAGGCATACTTGCTTTGATAGATGTCAGTACTTCATCTTTGATTTGGACTAAACACAAATAATTATCTTGTATGTACCTCTCATTGCAGGGAGCATAAGTGCACCATGCATAAACATTCTTGTATACAGTTATTACCTAAAAGGAACATCTTGCTCCCAGACTGCATAGTGGGGTTTGAATTAATACCGATGACTAGAGAATTAAGAAATGCAGGAAATTGCTAGTTCTGCTTATCATAGAAGTAACTCAAAACCAAAGAGAGATACACAGAGACATAGACACGCAGCCGCGTGGATGATTTTTAGGAAAAAAAAGTGTTGTATACAGAAGAAGACAGCAGTATTTCAACTCATACAATAAAAGGAGCTCCCAATGTAATTTTACAAATGATTTTCTAGCAGTCCAAGCTGGCTCCAAAGTGGCTTGTGTGCCGGCTGTGCTTTTGTGCTGTGTGAAACAACTAATTTATCTCAGTGATAGATGCCCGTCTGGTACACCAGCTGCTAACAAATGTCATTACGTAAACTTTCTGTAAGAAAACACACAGCTATGTTTGCACTATTCAAACCTTAGTATTTTCATTTGACCTGGAACCAAGCCAGCAAAATCACAAGTTTAAATGGCCTATATCCTCTTTGATTAATACACATCTACCACAGATGTCCAACCAAGCTTCAAACCAGGAGCAGCTACATGGAGAAGCAGAGTCCCCGCTTGGAATGGAAAGATACTTCTGACCACTGACATGACCTTATATACTGCTTTCTTGGGCTGGTCCTACTTTTTCACCATATTTCTCTTGTATCTGAACACCTGAAATATCCTGGTTTTAATTCCATCGACTAACTTTCTGAAAATATTCTCTCTTCCCTTTCACTTTTACAAAGCTGTACAGAAGATCTACTGCAACAGCAAACAGATCAGAGACCCAGTGGGATAGACATACACTGCAACTCTTTTTTCCCCACTTAATTAAACCACATGGATGAAAACAAATTATAATGGAATAGTATTGCCGAACACTGGTTCTGCTTAGTTTTTAATGGCAAATTCTTCTAGAGCATCTGCCTAATCAGGCAGAGGTAGGGGGAAATCCTCTGTAGCAAGATATCAGCTTCCCCAATTTACAATATGCCTTTTCAGAAAGTTTATCTTTTAAAAGGCTACTTCATGCCCTCAGAATTTAGTACAAATGTTGCTTATAAGCGTTACTTGTGCCTGTTACATGGTGAGGAGTATTTAACTATTCAACTATCCTGGGCCTGCATTTATTAAACTCTTCAAACTGCTTAACTATTCTGGGACTGCATTTGCCAGTGGCAGCAGCAAACCCGAAAATATCACCCTTTTTTTTCATAGTATTTTGCAATGCTGCCAAAGGTTCCCAAAACAGTCATGTTCAGAGGTGATGTGAATATATATACACACACATAAATATATATGTGTATTATCAGTATACAAAAGACATGATAACACAGAATACTTTTTATATAATGTTACTATTTACATAAATTAAAAGGAAGCAGGCTCACAGTTTATGTAACTACATTCAAGAGAGCAAAAGCAAGCAGAATTGCAAGTGGGTGGTATACTGCTGTTTCCATAAACAATACGAATGAAAGAACTGACAGTAGATGAAATGCCGCTGGGGACTGACATTGTTTCCTTCCAATTTTAATGAATTTTGAGATTTTTTTGGTGATGGCTATAAACACACTTGCAGAAAAATATGGTAGCCAATATGAATCATGCTTCCTGTGTTGGAGTTTTAATTATCTGCATTCAATTCAATTGATACTACTCATGTAGAGATGCTCAAACTGTATTTGCATCTTGTTCTTGAAATGAAACATAAACTATAAGCATTGTGTGTATGAATTACAGCTTAATCTTTCTACATAAAACTGATGTTTCTGATCTATGCCAACTTAATTCAGAAGCCGCTCATTTCATGTTGCCTTTGCCACTGAACAACAAACCAAGTCAGGACCACCATAACAGCTAATCAGCTTCTAAAATTTCACAGCTGCTTTATTTTCATGCTGAGTTTTGGAAAACACCTATTAAAAATTGCATGAGCCCAAATTCTATTTTTTTTGTCCCTGAAAATGTTACTGTAATTGCATTCTGCATGCACAAACACGTAGTTACTTGAACATGAAGTTACTTTGGGATTGGTTTGCAAAGAAAATCTTAGAAAAATCTACTTCTTAAATAGAGACACTGAAACCTGTACTAAAGTGATAGTATTTTCTGTAGATGGAACTGGAATTAATTTATGACACCCAGGGAACTACACCTTCTCTGCATGACACTCAACTTCAAGGGCCTTTTTTTCATATAGTTGTATTGCAAACATATTTACGTGCATGTATAAGGCACCTGTATTAGATATAAAATTATTCACATTAAAGAAAAAGCGATAAGGGAATGAAAGTAATTTAATTTCTCACTAAGATAAAAAAACTGTGCTCCTGGTCTGCCAAGTCTTGCCCAAGCAAGAAAATAAAAACTCAGGGTACGAAGAGCCAGATCAAGATTGCATTCAGCTCAAGCTATCAGATATGAAATCTCACACACATGAGATCAAGAATGACTTTGTGAAGTTTTACTGTCATGTAAATTTGCAGCCCATAAACCTTACACACAAGACATCATTTTTAAAATGCTACCCTTGCAATTAAACGAGCCTAAGTTGTTGTTCTGCAATATTTCTGCTACAGGATCTTGCCCTGACTGTATTGCTGGTAGTAATGGCTGCTAGAACATGGCCAAATTCAATATGGGCCCCTCAAGACATATGGGACACAAGCAAGCATCAGAATAAAGGACATGTACTGCATTTTGCGTTAAGGAAAGCTGTCATTTAAACCACCAGTGAATGAAACATACACAGACCAAGCTTTCTCAGGGTACCAGTTACTAAGGCACTTAAATTTGTCTTTTACAAAATAACAGAAGAAGGAAATAAGGGTATAGTATATTAGTTAACATACAGATGCAAATCACATATATGCGTAGCTGGGAAGAAGCAGAAAGTAACCTGATACAATTATGTAGACCAAGTGGTGGATGTTTGCAGTTTCTTACACTTCTACATACCGTAATTTGAACTGAGATCGCACTTCTCCATGTTCTATTTGAACCAGTTCATTGTAACAAGCAGTTATGCTGCTATTCTCCATGAATTGCTGGAAGACAAATCAAGAGTGCATGAAATAGATTGGAATGGTTTTAAACTGTCATTTCTGTTCCTGCATCTAAAACTCTAACCTTATAAAGAGAGCTGGCACAAGTCCAGCAAAGGGCCACAAAGGCGATTAAGCATCTCTCCTGTGAGGAAAGGCTGAGAGAGCTGGGACTGCTCAGCCTGGAGAAGAGAAGGCTCAAGGAGGGATCTCATCAAGGTATATAAATATCTGAAGAGAGAGTGTAAGAAGACAGAGCCAGCCTCTTTCCAGTGGTGCCCAGTGGACCAGAGGCAATGGGCACAAATGGCAACACAGGAGGTTTCCTCTGAACATCAGCAAACACTTTTTGTCCTGTGAGGGTGACTGAGCACTGGCACAGGTTGCCCAGGGAGGTTGTGGAATCTCCATCCTTGGAGATCTTCAAAAGTTGTGTGGGCATGATCCTAGGCAACCTGCAATCAGGTGGCCCTGATTGAGCAGGGAGGTTGGGCAAGATGACCTGCAGAGGTCCTTTCCTACCTCAACCATCCTGTGATTCTGTAGAAATAAAAAGCTTCAGTTGTACCTTTTGTGTTCATTAATCATCTTTTCCCCAGAAATGATTTTCTACTTCTTAAGACAACATAGCTATTTAAATAGAAAGCAGGTATAAAAATATGCTAAAACCTCAACTGTGAATTTTCCCTTTTGGTTTTAGCAACACAGTTAGAAACAGATAATCTAAAAAAAACCAAACACAGTCTCACACAAAACCGGTATTGCCTTGACGTTTCATTTTGAACATCTATCCTTAATCCAGAATGGAAATGGAATACCTTAGAGACATACAACATCCATGCTAAAAAGAGAAAAAAAAAATTTGGCGTTTCATTTGTTTTCAAGCAAATATTGCACCTGAAGCTCAGAAGGTGAAGTAACTTTGCTCCACAAGTAATCTCACCAAGCTGTCATTGTGAATTCAGAAGTGCAGAAAAGTATATAAAGTAAGGAGCATGCTGACAACAGTTAACAAACTTTTATATACTCCAGACAGGAGAGGATGTCGTCTCTTTGTTAGGCAAAGGTAGTAAGCTGAAA